AGAAGAATATTGTGTGCCTTCCTGGCTCAATACCACTCCAATCCCCCACATTAGAAGCATCATATTCAACCTCGAACAACTGACTAAAATCTAGTAAAACTAAAATGAGGTCCGATTCACCTTTTTCGGGACGTCAAAGCGTGACCTAGCTGTCTCTGTCCACTGAAACTTCTCCCTTTATGAGAGCTCTGACAGGAGAGCTATAATGGTGCTGAAGCCCTCGATGAATCTTCTATAAAAGAATGCCAACCCCAAAAAGTAGCCTCAGCTTTTTAAAGGGTTGTGGGGGCGTCCAACTCACAGTAGCCTCTATCTTCATAGGATTAATCTGTATGCCTATAGTGGATACGATATAGTTTAAAAAGTATACCCGTGCTGTCATAAAGTGACACTTTTTTCATGTGGGCAGATAGCTTCTTCAATCGAAGAACCCTAAAGAACATCCTCAGATGCTTAAAGTGCTACACCTCATATCTGTTGTAAACTAGGATGCCATCAAACTGCACAACTACAAAGTTTCCAATATAAGTCACACTGGATTCATCAACTTCATGAGAGTGTTAGGTGCATTTAACAATCCAAATGGGATGACAACTACAAAGTTTCCAATACAACCCATTTCTGGCCTTGAAGGCAATCTTCCATTCATGCCCTGGCTGGCTTCATCCTGATATGGTGATATATATTGTGCAAGTCAATTTTGAAAAAGATAATGGCTCCATATAACTGATCTAGTAAATCAACCAAGCGAGGTATAGGAAATCTATATTTGATGGTGATCTTATTGATGGGTTGACCATGAATACACTTCCTCCACGTACTAAATTTGTAGGAACCATCAAAGCAAGAACGACATATGGGCTAATGCTCTCCTTCACGAATCCTCCAACAATAACATTCTGCACATGCCATTGCAACTCTTTGTACTCAACTAGCCTCAATTTGTAAGTAGGTTTCTTAGGTAATACCAATCCAAGGATAAGGTCCATAGCATGTTGAACGCCTCTTAGTGGTGGTAGTCCCTAAAGTAAGTTGTTAGTCATCACATCTTAAAAGTTGGCTAACAGTGGTTGTGCCATCTCCGGTAGCTCAGCCTCCTTCTCAGCCCCCTTTAAGATGACTAAAGTCATTGCCACTAGGGCCTCTTGTGCTGACTGTAGAATGGTGGCACATGGGATAACAGTCTTCTCCGCAACATGGTGTCTGCTTCTCTAAAGGCCCAGTGGGCAAAGGAACTATGTGCTTCCCCTTCGTGAATGAGCAGGTATTCTTCAACCCATCATTAGGTTGCGTTCGAACTGTCATGTTCTCCTCAACAGTATGTGATAAACATTCATGGGCACAACGTCATACTACACATATTCCTGTAGCTGGTCCCCAATTAAGAACTCTGCCAAACATTGCTGATCTACATGTCTCTCATTTCCCTTCTTCAATTAGGTCAAGGATTAGGGTTGAGAATGCTTCTGAGTAGCCAAGTCTTACTTATTCACCATAAAAGTAGAGACTACATTCTCACAACTCCCTCCATATATTCCCTCTCCCTCTCACAACACATATGATGTGAAAGATGCTATGTCTCAACCATCTTTTGTTCTGTTTGTTGAGCCCTCCTCACAACTAGCTTCTCACTCGCATCTCCATGGAGCTGATACTCCTCACCCTTCTCTTTTGCCATCTCTTCCTCATTCACTTCCTCCACTGCATCATGCTCAATGAATGAAACAATTATGCTCGTAAGGCAGCTGGAGGCAATGTGTTCGTATCCATGACACTTGAAACATTTCTTGGCTGGAACTGTGTTGAGCATGCTACTCTTCTCAAACTTCTTTACATTGTTCAACTCTGTCATTCCCCTGACCAATCTTCACAACTCTTTCATGTGTGCTCTTGCTGATGCCTTCAACTATGGTTGGTTGTCTAAATGGATGTGGGTGCCTGCTTTATTTCTATTGTCTCTCCACCTTCAATGCCAAGGTCCGAGCATGACTCAACGACCAATAAGGTTGTAGCAGGACAACATTCTTGATGGTGGTTTAAGACCTCCAAAAAATTTGGCTATAGTTTGCATGTCGGGATTTGTCAACTCAGTTTTAAGCATAAGTTGTTCAAACTCTGTCGTAAACTCCTCCATTGACAATACCCTTTGCTGTAGGTAGTGGAGCTTCATGAACATGTCCTGAAAATAGTGTGGTAGGTACTCCCTCATCATCTCCATCTTCTTCTAAGTATTGATCTTGCTCCAACATTCTCTTTGTCTTTCTCTTTTCAGATTCTCCCAACACAAAGTGACAATCTTCTTCAGCTATATAGTAGCAAGGTTTACTCTCCTATCAGTTGACACTTCACACTCAATATTTTCTTGACAGTCTGCAACCACTCAATGACGCCGCTCAGATTTATTCTCTTTTCGAAATTTGGTAAGTCTACCTTCACTCATAGGTCTATCTGTCCTCCAAAAATAAGTCTCATCCCTCGGCCTATTCTGATACTGAATCACTAAACACTATGACCTATCCTCTTCTTTATTGGAATCCTCCCCACGGAGGGGGTTTAGATTTTCTCTCTCTCATCTTCGAATTTGGTTATCCAGATTGACGTTGATTTCTCCACGTGTCCCTCCTCAATTTCAGCGAGTCTTCAATGAAGTCGGCGGATTTCCTGCAACATTTGTTCCTTGGTAAGTTCTTGAATGGCTTCCAACGCTTGTCTCCTCGGTGGCATGTCTTGAGTTTAGGTTTGGGAGGTAAGACGGGGTGGTTTAAAGAGGGGAAAAATTTTTTGGTGGCTGATTTGAAAAATCAACCATGATGGATGTGAGTTTTGTTGAAGTTTGGTAACCTTAGGATAAGATTAGGGTTAGACTAGCTCTGATACCAAATGATATTGGCGTTTAACCAAACACCAATAGAAAACAAATGTAATTGCCGAATTCAAATAGGAAATTACAACAATACAAGATAGAAATCCGAAATTCCAACAAACTCAACACACAACTTAGAACTAGGGTCGGCTTGAGGGTGTTGGCGGTGCCAGTTTGGGGTTTGGAAGGGGGTGATAGCTAGGGGGAAGGGAATACGGTAGGTTTGCAGATTTTTTTGGGTTCGTAGGGTGGCCGATTTTTGGGGGTTCAGCAGCAATGGGAGAGCGGGGAAAGGGGTGGTTCTGGGTGATGGCAACAAGGAGGAAGGAGGGAAATGGCTGGAAAGTCTGGGTTGGGCTGGCAAGCAGTCAGGATGAGGAAAAACTGCAGCTGGGCTGATTTTTCCTGAGGGCTGCAGCAAAGTGGAGCACCGAGGGAAAGGAAACTTGTGTGGGAAAGGGATGGGGAGGGTATCGGAAGCATAAATACCACATCGGAAACGAGATACAGTCGGAAAGTAAGATGCTGACGGCTGTCCCTAAACAAACACAACAAAAACTGAAACCTAAACATAACTAAAGCAAAATGCATATGCTCTAGATAATTAGGAGTGGCCTCACTCCAACTAGGCGGCAGTTCGCTGGCTTGAAGGGCCAATCGGCTCCTCATAAGCCTGGACCGAAATTGGTTTAGGTGCGCCCAGGCATCCCGTGCCCCAGGCAGACCCCTGCATCATTAGCTATGGCAAGTTTAAACCAATGTTGATGTGGGCGAAGCTTTACTTGGTTATTTTCATTTGCCTTGTTACTAGAGAAGAATCATTTTGTTTTTCCTTAATTTTTAAAATGGAAAGTTATATGCCTTTACAAAAGCATATCTGTGCATTTAAAAAGATTTAAAAAGAATCATATATACCTGAGCATATCTGTGCATTTAAAAAGAATCATATATACCTGTGTGTGTGTGTGTCAGTCAAATGTGATCTCAATCTAATTTGCGTTTAAGTTGGGTCTCTTATTAGTGTTGTTGATGTTGAAGAGGGATGCACTATAGCATTTTTTAGTTCCCTCGGTGGATGTTACTAGTTCCAGTCACGAAACAGCCGCTTCACAAAGCCAGGGTAAGGCTTACATACATCAACCTCCCAAGCTTCATGCAGATACATAAATTAAATTTCGCTAAGTTTTTAGTAGAAGTAAAACAAACTTGTGCAACTGGGAAGGAGAAATGCTAGACATGTAAATAAATGAAGCAGTACATTTTTTGCAGAGGTTGTTTGTTTTTAATGTTGTACGTTACTGTTAAAATTTAAAAGGAAGTTTTGCGAAAAGCTTGTTAGCTTTTGGGCACTATTTAAAGATGAAGTTTTGGGCAAAGTTGGAACTTTATGTCATCTATCTATCTATGTTTGCTTATGCTGGATACATTATCTAAATTGTTTGCCTAATCCTCTAAAATATTTCAAAAAAAGCCATTGCATTTTTAGCTGAACCAATAAAAATGTCAGTGGTTGGTAATGCTAATGTTAAATTGGTAAAAGAAACTGTTGGGATTTTTTGTTATTGAAGCCATACAGAGTTGCGTGGTTGATTCAAGTAGTAGTCACAAGTGGCAAACTTAGCATTTTGCTCGAACTTATCAGGATTTATTACATTGGTATCATAAACTGGTAATTAGTGGTGACATAGTATTGAGAAATAACTGGGATGTTCAATGAGCGTGAGTGCCGAAGCAATAATACTTTGGTAGAAGTTTTGGATGTAACTAATTTTGTTGTTGGAATACTTACATCTATAGATTTACATATCTAATACTTGGACTTCAATTTTTACATTTATGGCACCTTACCTAATGCATAGAAATGTGTATTTCACTTTTTATAAGTTAAAATAGTGATGTTTTTAATGTGATTCAAAAGATTTGGGTACGATAAATGTAAAAAGTAAAGTTTAGGTGTTAGATATTTAGATATGTAAAATATGTAAATGCATAGGAATTTGGTGGTATGCATGTAAATGCCCCTTTGCCGTTTTGGCCTGGATCATTCATAGAAATATGTAGGTGATTTATTTCCGTTGATGTACATTGTGCATGAACATTATACTCTTAGTAACTCTACAACTCTTGAATTCTTCAGGTTGTGATATATCTGCTGGACCTGTGTGGATGGAGTATATTTCTTTTTTGAAGTCTATGCCTGTATGGACAGTTTCTGCTCTACTCCTTTTCCTTTTATTGTCTGTACTCATTTCACAAGATAATGCAAATTTCACAAATAAAAGTTTGCAAGATCTCTAAATGAACACGTCTCATTATTGGGGTAAGTCCTCACTTTCTTTCTCAAAACCAGAAATTGCAGTGTGGCTCTGTGAACTGTTGGGGAGCAATTCCTTTTTGAACCTGATCATTTTCCTTTTAACATCTTTGCTTTGTTGATATTTGCAGTATTTCAATTTCTATCATATAGCTAAAACTATTTTATAGTTTTGTAAATTTTTGATTTTTTTTTTTGCAGGTTGTGACAGCACAGGAGGAGTCCCAACGCATGACTTCTGTGAGGAAAATATACCAAAAAGCTATTGTCACTCCAACCCATCACACAGAACAACTCTGGAAGGACTATGAAAATTTTGAGAACTCTATTAACCGCGCTTTGGTAACTCTCGTTGACTGAAAAAATTTAACAAACATCCATTTGAGTTTTTTTATGCAAATTCTCTGTCATATTTTCCTGTATTTGAGTTAAAAGTCAATTCTGGAGCTCAAAATTTAGATTTCAAATTAATCATTAGGAATTCTAGCTCTACTATGTAACATTGGACCTGTAATTTAAAATAGAATAGTGCTAAAATAGTCCTCTGACTTGTTACGTGGAGCCATTTTAGTCTCAGAGTCCAGAAATATTCCAAACTAACCCTTTAACTCTTTTAATAGTGGTTGAAATATTTTAGCCCCATTTAGAAGTCTAGAGACTAAATTGACATTTTTATAAACTCTGGGACTAAAATGACCTCTGAAAAAGAGTTAGAGGACCATTTTGAAGCTTTTCTCTGTTCAACTATGTTTCCCTTTTTTTTTTTGGTACTGTTTTACTAATTTATAGAACACAATGAGTATTGACGGATGTTCGTCCGCAGGCTAAAGGTTTATTATCTGAATATCAGCCCAAGTACAACAGTGCAAGAGCTGTCTATAAGGAACGAAAAAAGTACATTGATGAAATTGATTGGAATATGCTCGCAGTGCCTCCCAATGGTTCCTTTAAGGCATGTTAGCACATGTTAGTCTTAACTTTCTGCAGTTACTGAAGAATATAATCGTGTACTTATGACCTTTGTGTGTTGGTTTGGACTGGTATCACAAATTTATAGGAATTAATACTAAAGAGTATATGTGTTTACCCACCGCTTTTGATTATTGAGGGTATGCAGAGTATGAAAGTATGTATACCATGCGGTTTAATTCCATTTCTTTCAAAATGCCTATTACAGGAAGAACAACAATGCATTGCATGGAAGAGACTTTTAGCCTATGAAAAGTAAGAATGCAATTAGCTTCTGCAATTACATTTGATGTATATAGCTTCATGAATTGTTTGACCTATCGAGAGTTCTAGCTGCTGTGTCTTAATTTCATTTTATTCTTGGATCTTATTGATAGATACCTATAGGTAGGGGATACAAAGTACTTTGTAAGATGTTTTCATAAAAAAATTCTTTTTAGTGGACAGCAGTGATGCGAGAACTCTTCTGCAATAAGTCATCCCATGGTACTGCGGATCACAGAATCCCACGACAGTGGGCTTGAGCCGGGGGCCAGTTGTAGCAGAAAATTCCCGCTATTTTGGGTTGTACAGGTCATGGGAGCTGTATTTCCTATTATGTTATTTCTAATTATGTTTTAATTTATCTCTGCAACAACAACAACAACAACAACAACAAAGTCTTAATCCCACTACGTGAGGTTGGCTACATGAATCCTTTTCTCCATTGCATCCCACTTAGTGTCATATTTTCATTTAGTTCTAATAAATTAAGATAATTTTTTATACAATAATCCCATGTCTTCCTAGGTCAAATAAATTAATTTATCTCTTCGTATAAGTTTATTATTTTGGACCTAGTTTAGAAGACTTTAGCTTTGTTTTATGTATTTAGAGATTGTATTATCTCATTTCTTCTCTAAGGAGTGTTGTATTTTCTTCATTTTGCAAGTGATGTATCTATAGTTTTTTAGGAACATATAGTGGAACCTCCTCGCCGTTCGTACCTTTGCTATTTTACTGTTTGATCCACTGTTTTCCAGCCGGACAGCATCTAGCTACCTCTGTCCCCTTCCAAACTCCGTCGACCTTGCATATTATTATTTTTTTGCTATTCCATAATCATCTCCCCTCTAGATCACCTTCCTAAATATTTTCCAGGAGTCCTAGAATTGTGTCAGATGGTAAATTACTGGATTGTCAAACAATTATGCACAATTTAAAGCATTTTACTTCCATGGACCAGTCACCGCATGAAATTTCTTTTTCGTGAAATGTAAGAATTTTGGGTTGTGCATTGTACTTTTCTATGAGAGTTTGTGGTGATGAATTTTTTTTTATTATTTTGAAATGAGATTTTAATATTCTCAATAATGGTTGCCTCATGCTCTTTAGAAGCTGTATTTGTTAAAGTATTGATTGCTCTTTAGTTTCTTAAAATAGTATTTATAATTGTGCCAAAATATGCTTTTAGCAAAGCAAACTAAAGCTTTCCAGTTAATCTCTCTCTCATTCTATGCCATCATGATCCTTATATAACTGATCTTATTATAAGCTGCATTTTCATTTTTATTGCCAACAATTATTTTCTATTTTTTTCATGTATATGTTTTAATATTTTATCCTTTATTTAACGAAGGTAATTTTTCTGTTTTTTTTCTAATTCAACTAGTGGAGCATTCACAAACACATTGATAACATCTTTACCAATAATTAGAATAGTTTAATCAAATAGATTCCACAGCTTTAGAAGTTCTATGAGGGAGTAACCTCTTACATTTAATTCTTCTAACTAACTGTGTTATTTTCTGTGTGATTTATTTTTTTTACTCATACTCAATGAATGTACTATTCATTTATAAATCATTTAGGATTATTAACTTTGCTTTTTTGGCCAATTAAGTTTAGAATTTTAAAATTTGTATTCTTTCCTGGCATTTTTTTGAAACTTGCAATCTTTAAAAAATGATTTTTTTTTTTCGTTTTATATGTAGAGCTAATCCACAAAGGATTGATAGTGCATCGTCCAATAGACGTATTACATTTACTTATGAACAGGTATGCTAGAAAATATTAAGTTCATATTTGGGCATTTTATTTATGGATAAAAATATTTCTCATCATCATGGGCAATCTTATCCCACGTATTTGAAGCTTGCTTTATTGATCTATCTTAATCTTTTATCTTTATTTTTAATTTCTGAGTGCTACATTTTCATATTAAACAAATTCTTGTTTTTTGTTTTATGTTTTTGCTTGTAAGATTCAAACAAGAATTCTGCTTATAGGGTTCAATTTAGCTTGTAAAGTTCCACAGCATAGTTTTTCTTTTTTTAGTTTTAGAATGTTGTTGAAACTTTTATTTTTTTTTATACTTTAATTTTTCATTTTAAGTATTTGTATTTTATATGTGGGCACATATATACTTATTATCTCCTTTCTGCTCATTTGATTTAGCTAATAAATATTTTACAATAGAAATCACTATTGCACATCTGTCATTTCATACTTCTTTTTTTTTGCTTTTTTTTTAAATTTCCTTAGGTTTATTTTGTGAACTGGAAGGAATGGGATATCATCTCATCTAATTTTTATATTAAATGAGTGAAGTATTCTTTGTACTTTTTAGGCTTGTCCATTTTAGCCTCAATTTTTTTTTAATATCCAATTTTATCTCTGAACTCATTAATTTTTTCACCTTTAAGATCCTTTCATCATCTCACCTTGATGTAAGCTGGTCACGTGAGCCTTTGTCAGCAATTAAAACCTTTTAAGATGAGAAATGCCATATAAATCTTTTATAGTGCCAAGAAATCTTATGCAATATTGAGCGAATCTACAAATTATGATGAATGGGATCTATTATGAAAAAGTAGTAGAATAGCGGTGAGAAGTGGTAGTCTTCTACATTTGAAATCCATTTTCGTCTCGTCTCTTTCGTCCTACTGTCGGTCAACTTTTTCGATAGATATAGATTCGAAAATATGAAATATAAAAAATAATTTTTTGAGATTTAATTTAAATATAAAAGATATATAGTTTGGGTTTTGAAAGTAGTGTGTTTTAGTTTTTTTTTGAAAAATGAGACCAAATGGATCTCATTCGTCCAATAGTTTGCATAATCGTGCCTGATACCGCGAATACTACACCCTCTCGAAAGATAAGTGTAGACCTCGGCGATAGACCCAATCCAGCAAACTAAGAGATTTGTGACATCCGTTTAGTCTGCGAACCTTTTATATATGACCGACAAGTTCCCCTATTTAATACAAAGATTAAATAGGGTTTATTTTATCTGGGTTCCAAGTTCCCTATAGAGGCAAGCCCCTATAGTTAATTACATCCCAAATGACGGGAGTCATTTGAGAAAACTCTCGATAATGATCAATGGTTCTAGTCTTCAAGATTTCAAGGTTTAGGTTTTCACGGTAGGGCGTGGAAAAGCAAGTGGGAGTGGCTCAATGCGGAACACTTATTTCAGGAGTCCAAAGGAAAGAAAAGGTAGGGGGATGTCACAGATCCTAAGGAGAACCCTTAGTGACTTCCCAAACTATCCTAATGTGTTGGAGATGAAATAGAGATTATGTTATTTAAATGTTCAATCCTGCCAATTTTATTACTTAGGACTTACATTTGCATAATACCCGATTATGCAAATAGCCCACAGAGAAAGGAGGGTTTACGTCGTACCACACAACAACCTCGGAACCTAAAGCGAGTTAGGACTTATGCTGCACAACCTGGTTGTGTAGGGGCCTAAAAGAGGGTGAGGATTTACGTCGCTCTAGGCGAGCTACCTC